GGGGGGAGAACCTACCTCTTGCCCTTCCTTGGCCCCCGGGGCCCCAGACGCGGCTCCCTTGGTGTGGACTTCATCCTTGCGCTGCCCTTTGGGTTTGGCGGGTACTTTTTCCTGGTCTGTGTCGTCTGCGGAAAGGAAGACGTGGACTTGGAAGTGGTGGGTTGACAGAGAGACGTAACAGCTCCTCGCAGACCAAGTCGAGAGGGCCAGATCTTACCTCCAATCCTTGTCGAGCCTCAGGCGGCCCCCAGAGAGTAAAAGGGCAGCATTTCCTCTCCCCCCCCCCCGCCACAGCCACTGAACCAGCACTCCCGGCCCTCCCGCCGAGGTGTCAGGCAAACGCCAGTGCGGCACAGAGGTTAGGAGTGCTGGACGAGGGCCCAAGAGACCCAGGTTTGAATCCACGCTCTGCGGCACTGGCTGACTTTGGGCCGGTCACACGCACTCGGCCTAACCTACCTTGCAGGGTTGTCGTGAGGATAAAATGGAGGAGAGGAGACCGGTGTGAGCCGAACTGTTGGAATTCAAGATGCTTACATGTCAGCCATTATTGAGTTAAATGTTGTTTGTCAGCCAAACAGAATGCTAGGCTGTGTAAGGTATTCAACGGCGGGAAAGTTTCTGGGAGTTGTTTATTCTAATGAAGTGACCTTGTAACTTTTGCATTGGTTGACCAGCATCTTGTTTCTTTATTTTGACTCAAGAATAAGAACATAAGAGAAGCCAGAGTTGGATCAGGCCAGCGGCCCCTCTCAGGGCTATTTTTGGGCAGGAACGCACAGCAACGGAGTTCCGGCTGGCTCCCAAGGTGACCACGCCCAGCAGGAACTCATTAGCATAATAGGCCACACCCAACAGCAGAAACTCATTAGGATTGGCTACATTAGGGGTGTGTGGCCTAACATGCAAAGGAGTTCCTGCTACAAAAAAAAGCCCAGGGTTTTGACCACAAACAAGGTAAACAGAATAAGAAGCAAAAAGTGGGTGTGGCTGGATGAGCACACTTCTGGTAGCATGGGGTGTGGCCTAATATGCTAATGAGCTGTGCTGTAAGGGGTGTGATCTAATAGGCTAATTAGTTTCTGCTTTTGGGTGTGGCCTATTATGCTAATGAGTTCCTGCTGGGCTTTTTCTACAAAAAAAGCCTCAACACTCTGTGTCACACAGTGGCCAAAAAGACCAGGTGCCATCAGGAGGTCCAGCAGTGGGGCCAGGACACCAGAAGCCCTCCCACTGTTGGCCCCCCCCAAGCACCAAGAATACAGAGCATCCCTTGCCCCAGACCGAGAGTTCCATCTATAAGAACATAACAGAATCCATATTGGATCAGGCCAGTGGCCCATCCAGTCCAAAACTCTGTGTGTCACACAGGGGCCATCAGGAGGTCCGGCAGTGGGGCCAGAACTCCACAAGTCCTCCCACTGTTGCCCCCCAAGCACCAAGAAGACAGAGCATCACTGCCCCAGACATAAGAACATAAGAGAGGCCATGTTGGATCAGGCCAGTGGCCCCTCCAGTCCAACACTCTGGGTCACACAGTGGCCACAAATACCAGGTGCCATCAGGAGGTCCAGCAGTGGGGCCAGAACTCGAGAAGCCCTCCCACTGTTGACCCCCCAAGCACCAAGAAGACAGAGCATCACATGCCCCGGACAGAGTGTTCCATCTATAAGTACATAACAGAATCCATATTGGATCAGCCCAGTGGCCCACCCAGTCCAACACTCTGTGTCACACAGTGGCCAAAAATACCAGGGGCCACCAGGAGGTCCAGCAATGGGGCCAGGTCCAGCAGTGTAGAGCCAGCAAAGCAGGGGCTGTTCTCCTAAGAAGCCTCAGCCTACGGGCATATAAGGGGCCTCTTTGCACATCCAACGGTTGCCTTCTGTTGCCCCAGAAGGGTCGGACCAGAACCAACAGGTTGAAATTAAATCAGAAGAGTTTTCGGCTAAACATTTGGAAGATTTTCCTGACAGTCAGAGCAGTTCCTCAGGGGAACAGGCTTCCCCGGGAGGTGGTGGGCAGTGTTCCCTCTAAGCTGAGTGAGTGTGAGCCAGCTCACAGTTTTTAGCCTCCAGCTCACAGATTTTTGTCTTCGCTCAGGAAGGAGGGCTCCAGAGCAAAATAATTTATGAGGGAGCCAAATCGCTCACTCACAACTTTAATGCCGGTAGCTCACATAGTAGAATTTTGGCAGTAGCCAAATTCTGGCAGAAGCCAAATTGCTCGCTCAGAACTTTAATGCCAGTAGCTCACCAAGTAGAATTTTTGCTCACAAGAGCCCACTGCTTATTTTTTGCTCACAGGGCGTGTCTGTTGTGGGGAGGGGAAGGGAAAGGAGACTGTAAGCCGCTCTGAGACTCCAAGTGAAGGGCGGGGTATAAATCCAAATTCTTCTCCTCTCCCTCCTCCTCCTGACTTGGATGGCCCAATCTCGTCAGGTCTCAGAAGCTCAGGAGGGTCGGCCCTGGTTAATATTGGGACGGGAGACCTCCAAGGAAATTCAGTGGCAAAGCGCCTCTCTTCGTCTCTTGCCTGGAATTCTCGGAAGCTGAGCAGGGTCAGCCCTGGTTAGTATTTGGATAGGAGACCATTGCCTAGGAGCTGCGGTGGCTCAAGTGGTTAAGATGCTGAACTGCAGGCTGTGGACAGTCAGTCGTTCAACAGTTCGAGACCGGGTGTTCCGCATTTCAGGCGGAAGTTCTGTTTAACTGGGTGTGCCTTTTAAAATGAACATATTCTTCAAAACTAAATTTTCTTGCATGCACACAGCTTTTCTTCAGCCATGCAGTGACAATCGATGCGCCCTCTAATCTGTGGAGTCTTGTGAGCAAAAATTCTACTTGGTGAGCTACCGGCATTACAGCTGTGAGCGAGCGGTTGGGCTACTGCAAAAATTAGTTTGCTCTGGAGCCCTCCTTCCTGAGCTAAGACAAAAATCTGTGAGCTGGAGGCTAAAAAACTGTGAGCGAGCTCACACTAAATCAGCTTAGAGGGAACACTGCCTATGAGGTAGGTGGGGCTGAGAGAGCTCTCTTCAGAACTGCCCTTGAGAGAACAGCTCTATACAGCGAATATTTAGGTGATAGATTTACGCTGTCAGAAGTGCTCCTGTTTATGTTCTGTGCTTGTTTTTGTCTAGTGTGTTTTGTTTATATGTTTGTGGAAACTTAATAAAAATCTTTCAAAAAAGAGAGAGTGAGAGAGAACAAGAACAGCTCTGAGAGAACTCATGACTGACCCAAGGTCACCCAGCAGCTGCAGGTGGAGGAGGAGTGGGGAATCAAACCTGGTTCTTCCAGATTAGAGTCCGCCACTCTTAACCACTGCACCAAACTGGCTTCCTCACCTTACGACCCAAGAGAAGGAAGAGTGCTTGCATAAGAATACCTGCAGACTTCCTCTTCCTCGGGCCTTCCAAAATGGAGCCTTTTTCGTCCTCATCAGGATCGCCGCACGTCCCGTTGACCAAGACCGGTTTCTCGTCGTCCTCCACCGCCCCATGGATGCGTTTTTCCCTTTTCATGTTAACCTGCAGGATGGATTTCCAGAAAACGTGGGTCAGATTTCTTTAAAAGTTATGTTTATTTTTCCACGGACATTTTCCCACGAGGAGAACACGAATCCCGGTTGTGATAAACGTACAGCTCTTGATAAAACAATGAGACTTCACAGACGAGCTCTTTGATAGGGGAGTAAAACCACATCAAAATAGTTGTATTACTCTTGCAACAAACAGAGTCCGGCGTGAGCACTTCCGAGACAGAGGAGGCGGAGGGACTGAAGTCGCTCTGGTGGCCCAGAACACCTTGGCAGGCAGGTTCTTGTTCTTTTTTGCCCCAGGAACTGACCCTCTAAGAGAGTTATTGCTATTTTCCAGTCATGTGGGTCACACAACACATGTGCTCTTTCATAAGAAGAAGAAGAGAAGAGATTGGATTTATACCCCGCCCTTCACTACCCAGAGGAGTCTCAGAGCGGCTTACAATCTCCTTTCCCTCCCCCTCCCCACAACAGACACCCTGTGAGGTGGGTGGGGCTGAGAGAACTCTTGACACAAACTGCTCTTTTTCAAGGACAGCTGTGCCAGAGCTTGTGACTGACCCAAGGTCACATCAGCAGGTGCAAGTGGAGGAGTGGGGGAATCAAACCCGGTTCTCCCAGATTAGAGTCCGCACACTTAACCACTACACACAAACTGGCTCCCATAGCAGTGCAATGGCGTGTGTTGTGTACAAAATCCAACACAGCGGTCTACTTTTCAAGAAGAAGAAGAAGAGGAGGAGGAAGAGATTGGATTTGCACCCTGCCCTTCACTCAGAGTGGCTTACAATCTCCTTTCCCTTCCCCTCCCCACAACAGACACTCCGTGAGGCAGGAGGGGCTGAGAGAACTCTTGACAGAAACTGCCCTTTTTCAAGGAGAGCTCTGCCAGAACTATGGCTTGCCCAAGGTCATCCAGCAGCTGCAAGCGGAGGAGTGGGGAATCAAACCAGGTTCTCCCAGATGAGAGTCCGCGCACTTAACCACTGCACCAAACTGGCAGAGAATAACGCTTGATCTAGGAGAGACGCTTCCAAGGAAGGAAGGAAGGAAGGAAGGAAGGAAGGAAGGAAGGAAGGAAGGAAGGAACAGAAGAACTACGGCTTGCCCAAGGTCATCCAGCCAGGCACAAGTGGAGGAGTGGGGAATCAAACCCCGTTCTCCCAGATTAGAGTCCGCGCACTACATCAAACTACTACACCAAACTGGAAGGAGGGAAGGAAGGAGAGAAGGAAGGAGAGAAGGAAGGAGAGAAGGAAGGAAGGAAGGAAGGAGAGAAGAGATTGGATTTATACCCTGCCTTTCACTACCCAAAGGAAGAAGAAGAAGAGAAGAGATTGGATTTATACCCCGCCCTTCACTTGGAGTCTCAGAGCCGCTTACAAACCCCTTTCCCTTCCCCTCCCCACAACAGACACCCTGTGAGGTGGGTGGGGCTGAGAGAGCTCTGAGAGAAACTGCTCCTTTTTCAAGGACAGCTGTGCCAGAGCTTCTGACTGACCCAAGGTCATATCAGCAGGTGCCAGTGGAGGAGTGGGGACTCAAACCCGGTTCTCCCAGATTAGAGTCCGCACACTTAACCACTACACCAAACTGGCTCTCTAGAGTCTCAGAGCGGCTCACAAACTCCTTTCCCTTCCCTTCCCCACGACAGACACCCTGCGAGGTAGGTAGGTAGGAGGGAGGGAGGGAGGGAGGGAGGAAGGGAGAAATGTCCCAAGCAGAGCAAAGCCTCCAGCTGTTTGCCGAGATCTCATTGATCCTGCACATCTGCTCCCAGAACAAAAGACAGAATTCCCGGGGAGCTGCCCTGGCATGCCGGCCTCCGCTCCGCTGAGCAAAACCCGAAAGCCCTGCCCCTTGTTCAGGCAGACAAGACACCATCAGCGCTGTGGGACGTCCTCCTGAGAGATGCCCATGTTATACTGGGGGAACCCCGCTAAGGCAGAGCCCAGCCCCAGAACCCATTTGGGAAACCGGGGGGGGGGGTCTGGGTGAGTTGACAGCAGCCAGAGTGAGCCAGGAGTCTTCCCGATCTCGAGAAGGGAGGGCAGGAAGGTCTGCCTCCGTGCTTAGTTCTCGTGGCCCTTTCTGACACGCCTAGGGAAATTGCTGATCGCCAGTTTGGGGCCAGGAAGCCGTTTTCCTCCAGGCCAGTGTGGCTGGAGATCCTGGAGGGGTTTTTTTTGGGCCATCTTCTGGGCATGAAACAGCGGTCACTGGGGGGGGGATGTGGGACGGTATGAGTGCCTTTCCTGCATTGTGCAGGGGGTTGGACTAGACGACCCCGGAGGTCCCCGCCGACTCTATGAGTCTGCCTTCAAGACAAACCCGTTCATTCGGGCAGAAGCATCCACAGGGGAAAATGTCCTGTCCCGTGAACAGAGTTTTCAATGTGTGGAAAGGGGCAGGTTTTCACAGCATCGTATTAAGGTTATCAGGTCCCTGGCTATTTCCAGAAGGAGTAGCATTTAAGATCAAAGAGAAGAAGGTTAAGATTGACTCTGTTCTTAAAGCTCAAGAATTTCTAAAGGAGCAGCTGGGAAGGTCAGAGGAAGAGAAAAAAGAAGACAGCAGGTCCAGCAGCGAGCTGGAAACTGGTTCATCTGGCGAGGACTCTTCGTCTGAGCAGGGGGCAGCAGCCCCGAAAAGTCCCTACAAACTGCGGAAAAGAGAGGAGAAGAAGTAAAGGCTGAAGGACTCTGAACTGTGCCTTTTGAGAACTTTGGTTCCAGGAAATAATGGGGGGCACTGTTATTGGGCAATTAAATGTAAATGGGGAGGGTTAAAAGTTCTAAAAGATTGACACAGCTCATAAGAAGTACAAAGATGATAAGTTTGGATGCTAAAAAAAAAAGCTAGTTAGAGGATCTCCTCTCTTGGGTTTTTAGTCAGTAGTGGGTTCTTTACTTTCTCCCTTATATGTAGTTTTCCCCTCCCCTTTTCTGTTGTAGTTTTTTGTAGTGTTAAAAAAAATCAATAAAAAACCCCTCCAGGGGCTCAAAAAAAAAAAAAGGTTATCAGGTCGTCGTCGCCCCCTGGCCACCGACAGGGGATGGGGAGGCAGGGTTGCCAGACCCAGGCTGGGAAACTCCTGGAAATTTGGGGGTGGAGCCTGGGGAGGACAGTGAACACGCATAGAATCATAGAGTCGGAAGGGATCTCCAGGGTCATTTAGTCCAGCCCCCTGCACAATGCCGGAAATTAAAAAATACCACCCCACATACACACACACCCATGTTCCCTCTAAGCTGTGGATTCTTGCGAGTAGAAATTCTACTTTGTGAGCTACTTGCATTAAAGCTGTGAGCAAGCGATTTGGCTACTGCATGAATTAGTTTGCCCTGGAGCCCTCCTTCCTGAGCTAAGAGAAAAATGTGTGAGCCGGAGGCTAGCTCACACTAACTCAGCTTAGAGGGAACACCGCCAGTGACCCCTGTTCCATGGCCAGAAGATGACTAAAAACCACCTGACCAAACCAGCCTGGAGAAAAATTAGAGTGAAGCTGCCTTATACGGAGTCAGACCTTTTGGTCCATCAAAGTCAGTGTTGTCCACTCAGACTGGCAGCCGCTCTCCAGGGTCTCAGGCTCAGGTCTTTCCCATCACCTCCTGCCTGGTCCTTTTAGCTGGAGATGCCGGGGATTGAACCTGGGACCTTCTGCATGCCAGGCAGAGGCTCTTCCACTGAGCCACAGCCCCTTCCCATAGCTCTCCAGGGTCTCAGGCTGAGGTCTTTCCCCATCACCTCCTGCCTGGTCCTTTTAGCTGGAGATGCCGGGGACTGAACCTGGGACCTTCTGCATGCCAGGCAGAGGCTCTTCCACTGAGCCACAGCCCCTTTCCATAGCTCTCCAGGGTCTCAGGCTGAGGTCTTTCCCATCACCCCCTGCCTGGTCCTTTTAGCGGGAGATGCTGAGGATTGAGCCTGGGACCTTCTGCATGCCAGGCAGAGGCTCTTCCACTGAGCCACAGCCCCTTCCCATAGCTCTCCAGGGTCTCAGGCAGAGGTCTTTCCCATCACCTCCTGCTTGGTCCTTTTTAACTGGAGATGCTGGGGATTGAACCTGGGACCTTCTGCATGGCAGGCAGAGGCTCTACCACTGAGCCACGGCCCCTCAGCCACCAAATATCTGTCCATCAAGGTCTGTATTGTCTACTCAGACTGGCAGCAGCTCTCTGGGGTCTCAGGCAGAGGTCTTTCCCATCACCTCCTGCTTGGTCCTTTTTAACTGGAGATGCTGGGGATTGAACCTGGGACCTTCTGCATGGCAGGCAGAGGCTCTTCCACTGAGCCACAGCCCCTTCCCATAGCTCTCCAGGGTCTCAGGCTGAGGTCTTCCCCATCACCTACTGCCTGGTCCTTTTTAACTGAAGATGCCGGGGATTAAACCCGGGACCTTATGCAGGCTAAGCAGAAGCTTTACCACTGAGCCATGGGCCCCTCTTTACAGCTCTCCAGGGTCTCAGGCTGAGGTCTTTCCCATCACCTACTGCCTGGTCCTTTTTAACTGGGGATGCTGCCGGGGATTGAGCCTGGGACCTTCTGCATGCCAGGAAGATGCTCTGCCATTGAGCCACGACCCCTCTTGACAGCTCTCCAGGGTCTCAGGCTGAGGTCTTTCCCATCACCTACAGCCTGGTCCTTTTGGCTGGAGGTGCTGCCGGGGATTGAACCTGGGACCTTCTGCATGCCAGGCAGAGGCTCTTCCGCTGAGCCACGGCCCCTTCCCATAGCTCTCCAGGGTCTCAGGCAGAGGTCTTTCCCATCACCTCCTGCCTGGTCCTTTTTAACTGGAAGAGCCGGGGACTGAACCTGGGACCTTCTGCATCCCAGGCAGAGGCTCTGCCACTGAGCCACAGCCCCTCCCCATGGGGTAGCGTCCACCCTCCAACGCATCCACTTTCCCCAGGGGAACTGGTCTCTCTAGTCTGGAGATGAGTTGTCATGCCAGAGGACCCTCTTTGGTATGGAGGTAAATAA